CAGTGAAGAAGTGAAAGATGGGGGAGTCATTCTGTGTTTGGTGTGTGGAGGTTCAGCCACATGACAACAAACAGCAACAGGAAAAGGCCAAAATTAACTCCAATTCTAGAATGAAGTGCTGCACTCTCTGTTCTCCTGCTTGACTATCTGAAGGAACTCCCATGGCTAAGAGGAGAATGGAACTAAAATGAAAACCATTAACATACGTGATATTGCACAGCTGTTGTCTGCATAAAGAAAGTGCAAAATGTTATGAACAGTTAAAATGGAGAGAAATGGGGTAGTAGAACACATGGCCTCTTGTCGTTATAATGCAGCTGGAAAATGTGTCTTTCAGGGATTGTTGAAGAGTACCAGCTTCCATACCACGATCTAGTGCCCAGTGACCCCTCATATGAGGACATGCGTGAGATTGTGTGCAGCAGGAGGCTTCGTCCCTCATTCCCGAATAGATGGAGTAGCGATGAGGTAAGATATGCTTTAAAATACAGTGGCTTATATGCTTATGATCAGTTTGGGCCAAAGGCTGTGAAGATTTAGGTAAGAATAAATGGGCAGAAATTCCCAAAATGTTATCTTTTGGCTTTACACCATTACTGTTAGAGGCAATGGAAATCTTACCATTGATTTTTACTTCTGTGCCAAATATTTGGGATAGTGGGCTAAATTCCAACAACCTGAAGCCACAGGTGGTCAGGGCCCCTGAGGAGCTGGCTTGAAGTATTTTCAGAAAGATGTGTTATGTTTATATTACCTACCGGAAGAACATAGCAGAAGCTGAATGCACTCAGTCTGTATGTTATATCTCTGTTCTTCTCTTACACTTCTCTTCCCTTTTGTGTCAGGATCAATTTTGTTAAATAGATCTATATTCAGGGTACTAGTGACAACATCAGCATGTGTTTGTTTTAAATCAGAGCTACAATTCTCATTAGCCCTTTTTTTCAAGAACATTGCTTCTGTTGCTATGGAAGCAAATTGGTGTATAGCATTTGCCTGTAATCACAGGTGTACAGACCTAGAAGCATGATTCTAGTAAGCTTCACTTTGCTATTTGCATACAAGACTACAACATAGTAAAAGAAAAGTGTTACGCGTAACTCACTCCTACAATATCAAATACCTCCCTCTGCACCTAAATGTAGGAGTTGAGAATATGTGTCTTATTCAAAAGATGATAGCTTGGAAACTGCTTTCCAAGGTAAACTAGCATTTTTTTTTAATGAAATAAAGTTTTGAAGGCAGGAGAAGGTCTGTGCTCTTTCCACTGAAAATTTATAAGCAAAAGCAAAACTGTTTTGGAATCAGTAGACCAATAATTGATGAACCACAAACCAACTTGCCAACTGCTTTAGTGATGCTGTACAGAGGTCATTAATCTTGTTAAGTGGTACCGTGTAATGCTATTACTGTAGCAGACAGCTGTGATTTGGGAATAGCAGTGTTTGCATGAGTATTCTGCAATTAAATAAAAGATTTAAGCTACAAGAATGGTAAACAATCTGGGAGTGTCAAATGAAAAGCACACATGCCCATACACGCACAAACTCTCTCTCTTTCTCTCTCTTCCCTTCCCCCTACCCTTGGAAATAAGAGCATTTGTTTAATGTAGTGGGGGAACTATCTGAGAACCCCATACCTGTCTTTCACTGCCGCTGACCGCAACCTAAAGGGAACTTCATTTTGTGTCCCATGGGAATGTACCCAAAGAGCTCTGTTTTAGTACAGATGCTTAGAAACTAAAGCATAGGGAATAACTATATTCTGGCTGTATTGTGGCATGTGGGGGCTTGGCAGGTTTTTGAGTTGGCTGTTTAGCAAGTGGCAAAACCAGTACGTTATTGCACACAGCCGTATGTTACTAATACCTTTTAGCTAAGTCAGTTTCAGAAAAAAGACTGCTTGGCTGGTTTTAGCTAGGCTAGTTGGGTTCAGATGAATAGTTAATGAAAGCTGTTGTGATTTTATGCTCGTATTTGTTTCTTTCCATTCTTCCTAATATCTTAGAGAAAAGATGCATGAAGATGGTGAAAAACACTATGATAGAGAACACACTCCCTAACTTCCTCCCAGGCTAAATCTTTTAAATCCATAATGATTTTCCCCTGAAAATCCTTTACAGCCTTAACATGTATCAGGGAGTTTGTTTAAAAAAAATAGTTGTTTATGCTACCGCAATACAGTTTTCCACAAGTTTAAATTCTGAGGGACCTTATGCAAACACAGTGATCTTCACTCTGGTGAAATGGTCTACATCAGGGGTTGTCAACCGGGGATAGGCATAACCCTGGGGGTACTTGAAAGGATCCTGGCATGTACACATGGGCAGGTGGAGACAGAGCACTGATATGCATCATGCCGTGCAGGCGCCACCTGCCCTGCTGGACATGAGGAGCAGGGGAAGGTTGCACACAGTGGGTGTCGCTGTTCCACGTTCAGCCGTACACGACCCCATTCCCCTACTCTGTCTGGCTGCTGGGGGTACATTGACCCAAAAAGGCTGAAAATCCCTGGCCTACATGAGTCCTTCGTATCTGGGAGGAAAAGGTAGGTAGAATAGCTTTGCATCATTTCTTTGCATCTCCCTTCACCATAGTAGAAGCTGTAGCTTGCCCCAAATAGGCTGTCATAAAGGAAATCACTGTAGCAGGTAGGAGAGCGTCTCTTAAATCCAATTATACTACGATAATGAGCATTGAATGGGATAGACTTGTGTGACTGAGAAATTCTGCACGAGGGCTCTGAGGACCAGCTGCCATTCCAGCTTGAAGGTTGGAAAAGTTACTACATTTGGGTTGTGCTGAAGCCATGGGGTCCTAGCGCAGAGGAAGAAGGGTGAATTCTCACCCCCTACACACCCATCATGAATCCCTATTCTGCAAGTTTATGTAATCCTTGTTATGGGGAAATTATCAGAGAAGTTTTCCTCACTGGCTTGAGCATGGGAGGTGGAAAAAGTGCACCTGTGATGATTTTATCTGTTAGCAAAATATGGCATCTGGTTTGTCATAAACATTTAAACTTATCAGCATGTGCTGAGGATGGCAATTAATATAGAGAAAATAAATGTCACCCAAGGTGTTTGTGGGCTCTTTTGCTTCCTGGCACCCAGCATTACCTTTAAAATAGATTTGGTTTTCTTTGATTTTTTAGGATAGTCATCAACACCAGTCTTGCCTCCAGCTGACCCAGATATGATTCTTTGTTATCTTTTCTTTCCATAGTGCCTACGACAAATGGGAAAACTCATGACAGAGTGTTGGGCTCACAACCCTGCTTCCCGACTCACAGCCCTGCGAGTAAAGAAAACACTTGCCAAAATGTCAGAATCACAGGACATTAAACTCTGATTCCACAAAAGACATGTCTTGCAAAAGCCCATACCATGGACTTTCTTTTACAGTCACAGGACAGAAAAAAGAATCAAAAGACCTCAGTAATATGTTCCTTGCACACAATCATACTTCAGAACAACTATAGGTTTTGGCTGATAGCTTTTGAGGAGAGTATTCTTTGCAAAATCAGCAGAGTTTGTGATATACAAGATCACAAGAGGCTCATTTGCCCTTGTTTACTTTGGGAAATACAGTTTGAATAACTGGTTCAAGATTATGCATGTTGCTTTCTGTGAAAGCTCATGATAATTATTATTATTATTATTTTATTATTATTATTATTTTTTGATTGTTTAAAAAAGATACTGCTTTAAATTTTATGAAAGTAAAACTTTTGGTTAGAATTTAAAAAGACTTATATTATTACATTAAAAATTCAGAAGAAGCTGTGCCTGAAAATTAAAACAAAGAGACTATTTTTTCCCCCATTTTTGGAAACTATTGCACTCCAACAAACCAATAGAGAACAGGCTGTGAAGTTAAAAGAAGCTGTAATGGAAACTGTCTTAAAAGCCACCTACGTACAGAGACCACTTTCAAAGCTGCACGTATCTGAGTTTTGATCTCAAATTGTAGCTATAGCCTGGTTAGAAAGATTGCCTGTGTAGAAAGACTCTCCTGAATTACTGCAGGTGGCCTTTCACAGGCAGAACTTACTGTATTTCTGATAATCAGAAGCCATAGAGCAAAAGCAGTTTTGTGTGACTTTTTTTAACATTCTTTGTGCTTCTGGTTCTGTTGTGGGGCTGTCTTGGACAAGGCTATAGGATGGTACACAAAAGCACACAGTTTTCTAGCATTTTTTTTCACTGAAAAATAAAGAATTTTTGTATTGATGGGAACGAAAGGAACAGGCTTGCTAAAGCATGAGTTTAGAACTTCTTGTTAGTTTTTTATTTACCAGAGAAATCACTGGAGAGTGAAACTGCTAGAAACCACATCTGAAAAAGTTGCCTGGCAGAAAGATGTTGCGTTGTAAAATGAACGTAAGGAAGGATTTGAGTTCTTCCATTCATGAAAAAAGAAGACACTTTCACTCAGGTTTGTGTTTCGTGTATTCTGGGTTCTTTTTAGCAAGTGAACGAAACATGAACGTTTTGAGGGAGGAAAAAAAAAGGCCCACCTATAGTGGGATTTATCCTTCTTTAAATTTATTGGGTTTACTTTATTACCTCTTGATGATAAAGACTGAAAAGAAGGAGCTGCTGATAGTTTTCAAATCTTGTGGTTGAGATTTATGTATGCACTATTGGGCTTCATGCTGCATTCCTCTTTCAACCAAAACTCCCACTGAGGTCAGTGGGATGAGTGAGGGATGAAGAATTTGGTCCAAGATTTCTCCCATTATAGTGAGAGTTGTTTTTTGTCCACATAAATGGAGAATGTTGCCTTTTACAGTTGTTAATGAAGAAATTTTCTGTGATTACTACTCAAAGGAACACTAGACCATTGGGATAATATTTTTGCTTTGGATTCTTTCTTGGTGTCATACATAAAAGACTGTTGAAATCACTGTTTTACTCTGACCATTATCAGGTGCTATCACTACCCCCCCGACCTCCCCAGCTTTACATGCATATGAAACTATACTCTAGTGCCCCGTACCGCAGCCTCCAAT